CTTTTAAAATTCTAAGTATGATCAGCACTATTACCTTTATCAGCCAAACTTGTAATCTCATCAAAAAAAGGTACAGTAACTCCTCACTTAACATTGTAGTTATGTTTCTGAAAAATGCAACTTTAAGTGAAACGATGTTAAATGAATCCAGTTTTCCCATAAGATTTAATGTAAATGCGGGGGTTGGGTTCCAAGGACATTTTTGGGGGGGCAGACAAAAGGCATTCTGTACTGTACTGTTGTTGGGAGAGTAGTTAACTCTGGCTTACCCCACACAGGCACAGCCCACTGCAGACAACGAGGCAGGCAAAGACACTAGGAAGCACCTTGCGCAGCAGCAGTGGCAGCTTCCACACAAAAGAACAGGCGCTGACTTTGCCGGGGGATGCTCCAGACCCACCTCTTCCCATCCCTGCTCTGCTCCAGGCCCGCCTCTTCCCACCCCTGCTCCACCTCCTCCCCAGAGCATGCCGCGTCCGCACTCCTCCCCCTCCCTCCCAGTGCTTCCCTGCCACCAAACAGCTGTTTGGCGGTGCTTAGGACTTTCTGGGAGGGAAGGGGAGGAGCAGAGACGCGGCACTTCCCCTCTCCTCTCCCTCCCTCCCAGCACTTCCCTCACCGCCAAACAGTTGTTTGGCGGCAGGGGAAGCGCTGGGAGGGAGGGGGAGGAGGCAGAGAAGAGGAACTTGTGCAATGCTCCCTTGTAAAGTCGCTGCTCTTCCACAGAATCCTACAAGCAGTGGACAGAGCAGGCAGCCAAATGACGTTATAAGGGAGCATGGCACAACTTTAAACGAGCATGTTCCCTAGTGAAGCAGTGACGTAATTTCGAAACAACATTAAGCGGAAGGACGTTAAGTGAGGAGTTACTGTGGCAAGTTAGTTTGACAGAATATATTTTCCAAAAATTCATGTTGATTTGCTTTAATTACATTACCTTTGTTTAATTCTTTAGTAGTCAAGTCCCATATCAGCCACTCCATTCTCTTGTCCAGGTTTGATGTCATGCGGACAGGCCTATAATTACTCAAGTCGCCCTGTTTACCCTTAAAAATTGGAACAACGTTAGCTTTCCTCCAGTCTTTTGGAGCTTCCCCAGTACTCCCAGATTTATTGAACAGCAACGTTAACTACTCTTCAGCTACTCCTTAGCCAGCTCTTTTAAAACTCTTGGATGCAAGAGTTGGATTTGCTGATTTAAAAATGTTTAACATTAGTAGCTGGTGTTTAACACCCTCCAGATATACTCGTGAAATGAAAGGAGTTATTGTCATATGATGAGACTATATTATTTGATTTTTTTTAACATTCCAGTCATGCCAATCTTCCCACCAAGTTTCAGTAATAACAAGTAGGTTGAATTTTTTCTCATTTACAAGCAATTCCAATTTCTTTTATTTTTTACCCAGGCTCCTAGTGTGTAGGCATTAAATAATTTCTTCTTTTCATGTCTCTTGGTGCCTTGAATAATTTTGTTCTCAACATCTTAATCTTCTGGTCTGAGTGCTCATTTGTTCCCTCATTTGTTTTCTCCTTTTGTTATTAGTTTAATGCCCTCTTGATTACTCTAGCCAGCCTTCCCCCTAGCAGATTGGTTTCCCTTCAACAGATATGGAGGCCATCCAACCTATACTGCCCTCTCTCTCCTAGAAGATGGTCCAATATTTCATAAAACCAAAACCCTACACCCTACACCACTTACCTAGCCAGTGTTTCGCTTCCAGAGTCTTCTGCCTTCTGTCTTCCTTCACTCCCAGGACAAGAAGCATCTGAGACTATCACTTTCATGTTCCTTTCCTTTAGCACCCTTCCGGTTTCTCTGAAGTTGTCTCTAATGGGTGAGGTGCCCCATACAGAGTTATTAATGTCAATACAGACCATCACCACTGGATCCTTGCCCACTGACTTCAGAAGCCCTATCCAATCTCAGAGTGACCCCTCATGTCTTGGCTCCGTCCTGTTGTCTGCCTGTCCCTGGCAGAATGTTCTTTCCATTCTTCTTAGCACAGAATCCCCAACAAGGATTGTCTGCCTTTCTTGCATAGGTAGAGATCTCTTTGCAGGGACGCTTGATTGTCTTGTGGGTTGGGCAGGCATCCTCAGGTATGTCCTGTACAGTTCTCCATTCTGTTTGGTCAGCTAGATATTGCAGTTTCCACACTGAGAACATGATAACAATGCGATACTTCTAGCTGTGTGGAGTTCCTTCTTGTCCTCTTCTCTCTGGTGTTCACGGTTTGCCCATCCCCAACTGCCTCCAGGTGTGGAGAATGTCACCGGGTCTTCCCGCCTCAGTGATTACAAACTGCCACGCCTCCTTCTCTGGTCTCCTCCTCTTCCTGGTTCTGTGGTGGCCAGTTCCATTCTTGAATCTAGGGTGGTGATGCTTCCTGAATTTGGTTGTCCAAGAACTCCTCAGTATCTCTGTATCTGTACTTGTCCTGCCAAACCACTAATCTTTCTTCCAGCATAGCCACCAACTTGCACTTCATCCAAAGGACGTTTGATCTGGCCTCCTTCAGGAAAGAAAATATGGCACATCTGTTGCAGGTCTCAACCACTGTTCCATTGCTGGCCACGTAAAACTCCCTCCCACCACCAGGTGCTAAGCTGCCTGGCCCCAGTGTTTGTGTATTGCATTGCAGCCACAAAACTCCACCTGCAACAGCACACGTGCAAAAATTAAACTTTCCCTGCCGCTGCTTACAGGGAGACACCAACTACTGACCCTCCCTTACCACTGGGAAGGGGGAGCTTCCCTTCTGGCCCTCTCCACCCCCTTTCCTTACCATTGCTTTGTCTCCTCTCTGCCCCAACCAATGTCTTCCCACACAGTCTCCAGTCTCTTCCCTGCCTGCCCCATAGTCATCGGTCTTTCCGATTGCAGTCTCCTGTTTCTCACACCTGCAACCCCATATGCCCCTGAAGCTCCTCAGCCTCCCTGTGACCCCCACACATTTCCATTTATCTTCATAGTTTCCTGTCCAGTCTCCTAACCACAGAGTCACAGCCGTGCCTGAGGAGAGCAGGGCTTCAGTCTTATTGTTTTCAATGTGAGTTGGTGGCCATCTTTACCAAGGGCAGCGTCACTCTCACTTCCACATGCCACTCCAGGGAAGTGGTGGCCATCTTGAATCAGGACAGTTTGACTCCAGCCCCCTTCCCCCGCAAAGTAATGGGACCATGTTGAACAAGGGAACATGTGTGAGTTCTGTGCCAGGAATCATGAGATTCCTGTGAGCATGGGAAACATCCAAAAATTCCAACTAAATATTGTGAGACTCATGATAAAATCACTGGAGTTAGCAGCTCTGGGCATCATGGTTTCACCACAGAAACAGTGTATTTTTAATGAAAGCTTTGAGAAATATCCCCTTCCCCGGGGCAGTTCCCTGCTCTCTGTGGGGAGGGGGATTTTCCAGCCTTGCCCACGACTGAGCTGGTGGGATTATGGCTGGGGGAACAGGTTCTGAGTGGGGGACTCTGGTGGGATTATGGCTGTTTCAGGGGCTGGTGACCTTCGAGGCAGTGGCTGTGTATTTCACCAAGGAGGAGTGGGCACTGCTGGACCCCAGTCAGAGAGCCCTCTACAGGAACATCATGCAGGAGAACTATGAGACTGTGACATCTCTGGGTAAGGATTCCTGTCTCCTTGGTTATTAGAAGCTGGGGTGTCTCTGAAGATTCTGGGTTGGATTCTGCTCAGGGTTCTTCCCTGGTCCCTTAGATTTCAGGAGGATCATCCCATAGTCCCCAGAACCCATGGGGAAGCGTCTGCATCCTCTATGCCTCCTCCTATGGGAGAGGAGATATGGAGACATAGTGGGGTGCTAATACATCTCCATCCCCAGCATGTCCGAGAGAGAGGAACATACCATCCATCCTCTCTATCTGTGTTTTTAAATATGGGCACACACTGGTACGCAGACAGATGTTATGTGTCCCTCCCTTCCCAGGACTGGCTCTATACCCAAAAAGGGCTCTGGTGTCACCACGATTACAAAGGGGTAAGAGGTTGCACAACTGTGCTTTGCCAGAGTCATATAATCCCCAGTGTGTGGAAATCCTTGAATCTCCTGCAGGGGGAACTGCAGGTCTCCCAGGAACCATCTGATCATCCCAAAGGGGCTCCAGGAACATTTTTCCATCTGTTGCATTTATACAAGGGCACCCACCCAACTCATCTCTGGTCAGAATAACTGTAAAATTCTTGTCTCTTCTGTTCTCTTTCCCTGGAGCAGGTTTTCCTATTCCCAAACCGAATGTGATCTCCCAGCTGGAACGGGGGGAAGAGCCTTGGGTCCCGGATCTCCAGGGCTCTAAGGAAAAAGAGATCCTGAGAAACATCCACACAGGTGAGGAATTGGTTAAATGGACGCAGAAACCACCCACCATTGATGTCAATAGCTTGGATTCCCACAAAGGCCCCATGAGCTACCCCAGTTCTGCCTCATCTCACCCAGGTCAGGATTGTTCCCACGAGGTGTCATGTGATTCATGGCTTCCTGTCTGCCCTGCCTGACACCTGGCTGTAGCTCCCTTCACCTGGAGTTGTTGGATGGGATATGGAGGCAGAATTGGTTCCCTCTCTTCTGGAGAAAGGTTTTGGAGGAGGGGACATTCAGCTCCTGCTTTTTTCAATCTTCCCAGCAGTTATTTTGGTTTGCTCCCCACTTTGCACTCTCCTTTCTGAGGTTCCCTTTCATCTCAGATCAAGTTGATATTCATGTCTGAATTTTCACTCTGTCCCAGGAGGGGATGGGACGGTGACTGAGAAGGAGGCGGAGAATTCTCAGCGGGGAGGTCCCGAGCAAGTGGAACGGCATGGGATGCAGTCAGGAAGAGCTGAAAGGAAAAGTCCCTGCTCAGAACTCCAGGAAGCAACCTGCAAGAGTCAGCTCAGGCCAGAGAGGCAGCTGGGAAACCACAGAGGGAAGACACGGGGTAAATCCACTCACCGTGGAGGAGTTTTGAAAGACCTTCCCGAAGACACGATCCAGCCAGGAATCTGCAGTAAAGAAAAAATGTATGATTGTGCTGAGTGTGGGAAAAGCTTCAGTTGGAGATCACATCTTATTGTACATCAAAGAAACCACACAGGGGAGAAACCCTATAACTGCCCCGAGTGCAGGAAAAGCTTCAGTCGGAGCTCTACCCTGATTATACATCAGAGAGTCCACACGGGAGAAAGACCCTACAAGTGCCACGACTGTGGGAAGAGCTTCAAGCGCAGCTCAGAACTTCTTTCTCATCGACGAACCCACACGGGAGAGAAACCCCATAACTGCCCTGACTGTGGGAAAACCTTCAGTGATGGCTCAAACCTCATTAAGCATCAGAGAATCCACACGGGACAGAAACTCTATAACTGCCCTGAGTGCGGGAAGAGCTTCAGTCGGAGCTCACACCTTATCACTCATCAGAGAATCCACACGGGAGACCGTCCCTTCTACTGCCCTGAGTGCGGGAAGGGGTTCGGTCGGAAGGCTCATGTCATTACACACCAGAAAACCCACACTGGAGAGAGACCCTTTCGGTGTCCCGAGTGTGGGAAAAGCTTCATTCGGAGCTCAGACCTCACTATACATAAAAGAATCCACACGGGAGAGACACCTTATAAGTGTTCTGTCTGTGGGAAAAGTTACAAGCAGAGCTCAGAACTTATTTCACATCAGAGAAGCCACACAGGAGAAAGACCTTATAACTGCCCTGACTGCAAGAAAACCTTCAGTAATAGCTCCGACCTTATTGTGCATCGGAGAATCCACACAGGAGAGAAGCCCTATAAATGCTCCGATTGCGGGAAAAGCTTTGGTCACAGCTCGGCCTTTATTAGACACAGGAGAATCCACACCGGCCTGAGGCCCTATAATTGCCCCGAGTGCAGGAAAAGTTTTGCTCAGAAATGGCACCTTATTAGACACCAGAGAATACACAATGGAGAGACACCCTATAAATGTTCTGTCTGTGGGAAAAGCTACAAGGCAAAGGTCTCCCTCGTGTCTCACCAGAAACTCCACACAGGATAGAAGGCAGTGGGAGCTGTCCCTGTGGGGCAATGGGTCTGTGCTCCCCTGAAGCAAAGTGTAAACCTGCTGCAATTGAGGATGGGCTGAGTGGGCGCAGCAGGCAGGTGGATGGTTTGGATTTCACTGAGGGCGGCTGGTGAGGCCAAAGGAGGGGGGAGTGCTGGGCACTGGGGGGATAAGTCATTTCAGGGTCTGGGGGAGTAGGCGATGGAATTAGTGGGGAGACATTTTGTGCAAGTTCCACACTCGCTTTCCAATTTAGCAGGGAGGTAAAAATTCCCTGTTGCCATCCAGTCATCCTTGCAGTTCCTAGGGCCCTTGAGGACAGATGCACGCGGATGTGCAGTCATATTGGGCGTAGTTATAAAGCAGCCGAGAGCTACTGCTCTGAAGTAACAGGATTTCAGAGCAAGTCTTGGTGTATTGAACATCCCTGTAGACATGCGGGGGTGCACTGGACATTGGGGAATCCATGGGGGGAGATTCCCCCAAGAGGTTTGATTGCCGTGTTCCTGAGAAGCCAACAGTGAGAGCTGGGGACTTGGGACGTAGCACTCCTGGGTTTGGCTCCTGGCTCTGAGAAGAGAGTGTGGTCAGGTGGCTAGAGCTGGGCGAAGAAAGTGGGAGTTAGGACTTCTTGGTTTAGTAGCCAACTCTCCTAGTGTCTTCTTGTGTGACCCTGTACCAGTCACTTCCCCTCTCTGTTGTCCTGTTGCTCCTGTCTCTGCCCTGGGGATAGTAATAGTCGCCCACCTCCCTGGAGAGTTGTGGGATGTCACTAATCACTGTGTGTTCATCGATTCTAAGGTCAGAAGGGATCATTGTGTTCCCCTAGCCTGACCTCCTGTATAGCGCAGGCCGTAGGCCTTCCCTGAATTAATTCCTGTTTGAACCAGAGCAGATCTTTTTTAAAAAAACATCCAGTCTTGATTTAACAATTGCCAGTGATGGAGAATCCACCACAAGCCTTGGGAAGTTGTTCCACTGTTGAAAAGTTTGTGCCTTATTTCTAGGCTGAATTTGTCCAGCTTCAAATTCCAGCCATTGGATCTTGTTAGATCTTTGTCTGCTATACTGAAGAGCCGATTGTCAAATATTTGTTTCCAAGATACTTACTTAGAGACTGTGATCAAGTCACCTCCTAATCTTCTCTTTTCTAAAATAAATAGATCAAGGTCCTGGAGTCTTCCACTATAAGGCATGTTTCTCAAGACTTTAATCATTCTTGTGGATCCTCTCTGAACCCTTTCCAGTTTATCAACAACCTTCTTGAATTGTGGACACAAGAACTGGACAAGTAGCTGTCACACCATTGCCAAATATGGAGGGTAACATAATCTCTCTACTCCTACTCAATATTCCCCTGTTTAGACATCCAAGGAGCGCATTAGCCCTTTGGGCCATTGGCAGCTCACGTTTAGCTGATTATCTACCGTGACCCCCAAGTCTTTTTCAGAATCACTGCTTCCCAGGATACAGTCCTGCATCCCTGTAATTAAGGCCTACATTTTTTGTTCATAATTGTATGAGTTTATATTTGGCCATACTGAAATGCATATGGCTTGTTGGCACCCGACTTTGTAACAGTCCCCAATCTGTGTGTCACCTGCAAACTTTATCAGTGATAATTTTATGTTTTCCTCCAGGTTACTGATGAAAATGTTAAAAAGCATACCGCAAAAAACTGATCCCTGCCGGACCCCACTAGAAACACCCACTCAGTGATGATTCCCTATTTATAATTATATTTTGCAACCTGTCAGTTAATCAGTTTTAAATCCATTTAATATATGCCATGTTGATTTTGTATCGTTCTAGTTTTTTAATCAAAGTATCATGCAGTACCAAGTCAAATGTCTTACAGAAGTCTAAGTATATTCAATCAGTACCATTACCTTTATCAACCAGACTTGTAAGTTCATTAAAAATAAATCAAGTTAGTTTGACAGGATCTGTCTTCCATAAACCCATGTTAATGGGGATTCATTATATTACCCTCCTTTAATTCTTTATTAAGCAAGTCCCGTATCAGCCACTCCATTAATTTTCCCAGGATCTGTAAGGCTGGCAGTCCTACTATTGCCTAAGTCATCCCATTAACCCTCTAAGCACAACATTAGGTTTCTTCCAGGCTTTTGGAACTTCCTTAGTGTTTCAAGAGTTATTTTAAAATCAACATTAATGGTCTAGAGAGCTCCTCAGCTAACTCTTTTAAAACTCTTGGATGCAAGTTATCTGGACATGTGGAATTAAAACTGCTTAACTTTAGTAGCTGCTGTTTAATATCCGCACAAGATACAATTGGAATGGAAAGAGTGTTGCCGTCATATGATATAACTACATCATCTATTTCATTTTTGTTCCCAGATACAGAACAGAAATTATTGAATACGTCTGCTTTTCTGCGGAAAGGGATCTGGGGGTCATAGTGGAGCACAAGCTAAATATGAGTCAACAGTGTAATGCTGTTGCAAAAAAAGTGAACATCCTTCTGGGATGTATTAGTAGGAGTGTTGTAAGCAAGACACGAGATTAGGCCTCAACTGGAGTATTGTGTCCAGTTTTGGGCACAACATTTCCGGAAGGATGTGGACAAATTGGAGAGAGTTCAGAGAAGAGCAACAAAAATAATTAAAAGTCTAGAAAACATGAGGGAAGATTGAAAAAATTGGGTTTGTTTAGTCTGGAAAAGAAAAGACTGAGAGGGAACATAACAGTTTTCAAGTATGTAAAAGGTTACAAGGAGGAGGAAGAAAAATTGTTTTTCTTAACCTCTGAGGATAGGACAAGAAGTAATGGGCTTAAATTGCAGCAAGGGAGGTCTAGGTTGGACATTAGGAAAAACTTCCTAACTGTCAGGGTGGTTAAGCACTGGAATAAATTGCCTAGGGAGGTTGTGGAATCTCCATCATTAGAGATTTTTAAGAGCAGGTTAGACAAACACCTGCCAGGAATGGTCTAGACAATACTTAGTCCTGCCACGAGTGCAGGGAACTGGACTAGATAACCTCTTGAGACCCCTTTCAGTTTTATGATTCTATGAATATTGGCATCTTCAGCTAGAAAGTTTCTTTTATTACTGTATTTTATTATTCTGCCACTGTCTCATTCTTCCCTAGCTCTCTCTGTCAGGGAGAGTGTTTTACTGAGTCGAAAGGTTTTAGCTGGATTCCCTTGTCCCTGATTTCAAGCCGAGACTCAGATCACAATGTGATTATTCCTGAAATGACTGCCCTGGGAGGGAATTCACCTGGTCTCTGGATGATGGGGGTCTTGTGTTTCTGGACATTTAGATTTTGGTTGAGTCTTAATTTCGCATTGAAGTTTTTTCAACATTGGTTTCTGCTTTCCTGAATAAAAGATTTATTGCAAACCCTTCATCTCCCTGGGCATCTTGGGGAATTTCCTCAGTTCATGAGCTTAGCACAAGGCTGGATACACAGACGCCTCCAGCGGGGGAGCAGCTTGTCTCCTCACCAGCAGCATCTCTAGTGTCTATTCTCTCTTTCAGCTCAGTGAGGAATCCAGTTGTTCCTGGGCAGAATCTTGATGTTTCCCCGAGGACACAGAGCAGCTAAAGGGCTCTCAAACATCCTGGCTGGACTCCATCCCAGGCGTTTGCTTCCCATCAGGTGTCTGGCTCCTGCTTCTAGTTTTCTGGTGCTTTCTGTGATACTAACTCCGTGGTGTCACAACTGTCTCTATTGGGGAAAAGGGGATTTATCCCCTAGGCACTCTGCTGTCCTGTTCTCTGTCCCAGCTGCCAGCTCCATTGATCAAAAATTGGGCCATCAAACCCCAACACCAGGGCTCTGATTTCACCCCCTGCCCTGGACCTGCTTTGGAGGGGAGCGAACAACTGCAGCCACCAGACAAAACATCCCCTGGTTTTGTTATGGTTTTTTTTTGTTCTACATTTGTACTATGCCTTTCACAATGGGATTCTGGATCATGACTAGGGCTCCTTGGTAATACAATAATGGAACAATAATATAAGGTTCCTAAAAAATCCCCTACCACGATTGGATCTGCTTTAGCCATTTCCATTCACCAACCCCTAGGAAGACGGAACAAGGTGGAGCAGGGTGTGGTGGTTATTTTGGCCATAGATTTCTCCTTCTGTTCTTTTGATTCCTTTATCAATTTTCTATCGTTTTGAGAAGGGTGATTGGGGAGGGTTCAGGAGCTTTAGTGCATTTCACAGCCAAGTTCCTGACTCCTGTTTCCATCCCTATCCCTCCCTGTTGCTGTCACACTACAGACTCTGAATCCCTCTACAATGAGAAAAACTTGTATTTTCAAAAGCCAGTTACAGTTACTTGGGACCAATCATTTCCTGACCTCTCCCACCATTTGCACATTCCCAGCCCTGAAGAGCAAGGACAGGGGAAGCTGAGGCCTTCTAGATCCTGAATTGTTCCCTTAATAAAAACTCCTCAGCAGATATTTTGGTTTGTATTGATGTGAACAAACAGATCAAAGCAGATTACCTAGTAAATAAACAAAAACACAAACTGAGCTTAATATACTAGTGAAGTAGGATATGAATTACCAAATTCTCACATAGAGTGATAAACAAGCTGGCAGATTCTTAAGGCACAAGCTGCCTTTGCTTTGCAGCTTGGGTTTCCCAGGTTTTCATATACAAGCTAGAAATCCCTTTAGCCTTGGATCATCACTTCCCCCAGTTCAGTCTCTGTTCCTCAGGTGTTTCCAGGTGTGTTGTAGGGAGAGTGAGGTACTACCATGATGTCATTTCACCCTTTTATATCTTCTTCCCACTTGCTGGAAAGCTCTTTTGCTGTGACCTGGGTCAAACAGTTCCCACTATGTAGTGCTATCTCTGAGAGGTTTCTATTGTACACAGTTCCTGGGGTAATTGTTGTTCTTGTGTGCATTTCCTCAATAAGCCATTAACATTGTTTGGCCTTTTTACTGTTGTACCTGAAAGGCTGCTTGTGGGTGTTTTCAACCTAAGAACATGTTTCAGTAACACATACATAGCCAAACTTCGTAACTTCACATATAATGATAGCACATACAATCTAATGAGATATTATTGTCTAGTAAATCAAAACTTTTAGAATGATACCTCACAAGGCATAATTTGTGCAAAACATATCCTAATTATATAACAGTGGTGAATATGGGGGTGTCAGGGTGTCACACACCCATCCTCTCCCTTGGATGGGGATGGATTAATGTCTCCACACTGTCTCTGAATTGCCTCTCCTCTGGGAGCAATATAGGGGGGATAGGCTTTCTCTCAATGGTCTGGGGACTATTGGGATGATTCCCCTGAAATATAGGGGACCAGGAAAGGATCCTGGGTAGAAGTGATTGAGGTACTTCAGAGATATCCCTACTTCTAATACCCAAGGGACCAGGATTCCTGACCCAGAGAGGTCACATTTTGATAATTCTCCTGCATGATGTCCCTGTAGAGGGTTCTCTGAGCATGGTCCACCAGAGCCCCCTGCCCCTGGGAAGCAGGGCCTGACACACCACACAAAGGGATTTCTCCCTGTGTCTGTGATGCAATATCTGTTGGACACTGCAGCCGATCCATTCCAAAATTCCAGGGAATGTTCTAGGGAACCACTGGCAGCATCCTGCTGATTGGGTGAAAATGAAAACCAGAAAAGCCTGATTTAGAGACCAAATCCAGCTGCAGGCAGAGGAATCCCTCTGGTGCACCCTGCTGCTGTGTGCACATCACAGGCAGTGGCTGAGCTGGCTGCATGGTGAGATCATACAGCCTGGACTGTACCAGACATAACACAGCCTTAGAGGATGGCTTTTGGAGGGACCTGGAGGGGCAGGAGTTGGGTTTGGGGGGGAAGCAGCAGGTACTATAAGGGTGGTGGAGGGGAGCCAGTGAGAGTGGGGGGAAGGAGTGACCCTGGGGGGGAGTGAAAGTGGAGGGGAGTTGGGGAGAATGTGGGGAAGGAGTGAGGAAGGGAAATGGGGATGTGGAGGGGACACTGGGGTGAGGAGTGTGGTGGGGGGAGAGGAGGGAATAGAACACTGTTTATACTCTGAGTGCCGGGCTGGGGGTGTCTGTAACTCCCGTGACCCCCATATATGGCCCCCGTTCTGCTCTCCACTACCCCTCCCCACTCCCTACACATCCTCTCCCCACCCATCACATTGCAGCGTAATCTGCCATCACCTGCTGTTCTCTATACAGATCATATGTCACAGGACCAACGTCACAAGGCGCTCTCTCTCAAGGGGCGCACAGCTCAGCCAGCGTGAGAGAGGCAGTGTGCCGTCCTGCAGTGACTGGTTAAACCCCTGTGAGATGCAAGCCCATCCCCTGCCTTTCCAGGAGGCTGATGGCTGGGGCATACTCTGCACTGGCAACAGGCCTCTGATATCAGCACGTCCAGGGCTTTGTTCCCTCACAGTGACAAATTTCCACACACATACATACCCCCGCTGGGAATGTCACAGGACTACTAACTGTGATATGTAACCTATCACTCAAATCAGCTTCTGTACCAGATGATTGGAGGATAGCTAATGTAATGCAATTTTTAAAAAGGCTCCAGAGGTGATCCCGGCAATTACAGGCTGGTAAGCCTGACTTCAGTACCTGGCAAACTGGTTGAAACCATAGTAAAGAACAGAATTATCAGACACATAGAGGAACAAGATTTGTTGTGAAAACATCAACATGGTTTTTGTAAAAGGAAATCATGCCTCACCAATCTTCTAGAATTCTTTGAGAGGGTTAACAGCATGTGGACAAGGGTGATCCAGTGGATATAGTGATCTTGGCCTTTCAGAAAGCCTATGACTAGATCCCTCACCAAAGGCTCTTATGCAACACAATCAGTCATGGGATAAGAGGGAAGGTCCTCTCATGGATCAGTAACTGGTTAAAAGACAGGAAACAAAGGGTAGGAGCTGGGACTGTTCAGCTTGGAAAAGAGACAGCTAAAGGGGGATATGATAGAGGTCTATAAAATCGTGACTGGTGTGGAGAAAGTAACAAAGTGTTATTTACTCTTTCACATAACACAAAAACCAGGTGTCACCCAATAGGTATCAAATTTAAAACAAACAAAAAGAACTACTTCTTCACACAATGCACAGTCAACATGTGGGACTCATTGCCAGGGAATGTTTTGAAGGCCAAAAAATAATCAGATAAGATCATGGAGGATAGGTTCATCAATGGCTATTTTAGTCAAGATGGTCAGGGATGCAAACCCATGCTCTGGGTGTCCCTAGCCTCTGGCTGCCAGGAGTTTGGAGTGGATGACAGGGCATGAATCATTCAATGATCACCTGTTCTATTCATTCCCTCTGAAGCACCTGGCACTGGCAACTGTCGGAAGACAGGATACTGAGCTAGATGGACCATTAGTCTGACCAAGTAAGACCGTTCTTATGTAATTCAAGGCTCACGTGTAAAGAATCCAGCAGAGATTTCATGTTCTGTTCTCCTCCCCTTTTCCTTTCCTCCCTCTTTTCCCCCATTCATTTCTGACCAAACCTTCCAGCAGCTGCTGGACAATCTCCTACCTGAGTATGTTTCACTGCAGCCATTTCCCTGTCCTGTCCCCTGGGAGGCTGGGATGATCTGGATCGAAACACAGATGTTATTCGGCAGCCTGTCAGGCTGAGAAGGGCAATGGGGGAGGTTACAGACGTGGCTTTAGTTCATGTCACACCCCAATACCCCCACCCCAGGCTCTTTCCGTGCAGACAGAGGATTTAGACTTTGCCAGGCTGGGAAAACACTTGGTCACTTTATTACTCACGTGAGCCAGCATCAGTCTTTGAATTTACACCCACAGTTCTGCACCCAGTTATTTCCAGCCATTCCTCTCCCCTTCTCCTACTGAGTGTGCAAAGGCCATCGTGTGCACAATTGCAGCTCTGTATCCACTGCGCTGCCCTGGCTGGGGGCACATTTGGAGGCTAATTCACAGGCACATGTCACTGTTTTGCCCGTTTGGGGCAGTGCCCCTTTTCTGTGGGAAACCAATGAACCCATCACCCCACCGCAGCCCTGTCCTTCTCTAGAGCTTTCCCTGGGGGGCTCTCAAAGGGCTTCACCCCCATTCACACACACCCAGCCTCTCAGCCCCTGGGCAGCGGGTCCAGCTTAGGGCCAGCCCTGGGACAGACCCAGAGACCTGCCTGAGGGGAACAGACAGCAGGGACCCAGCTACCTGTGTCCCTGGCTGGAGCTTTTCCCCAAATATCTCCCCAGCGCTGTGCAGAGGGGCCCGGCCTCCCCTCCTAGCTCCAGTGCAGTCTCCCCAGGTGTCTATATCCCCTACAGGCTCCGGCTTAGGAGCCGGGGTGGGCAGAGCCTGGGGCTGCCCCAGAGGCTGGTTCCAGCTGGGCTGGGCAGAGAGGGGGGTTAATGCAGGTCTCTCCCTGGCACAGACCCCCGCTGTAGCTGCCAGCTGCTCAGTCTCGCCCCCAGACAATGAAGGCGGCAACCACAGTGTCTGACCCGGGAAGCTCCAACCCTGAGCAAAGCAAGAGGCAGCGAGTGCAGTCTCCCATCCCTGAGCAGCCCCTGGAAACCCCCGGTGGCACCAGCTGATAAAACCTGCTGCCTTCGGCCTGGGATCGTGAAACGTGTCTGGATCCAGCCTGACTCCTTCTCCCAGCCTGGGAACATGTCCCACAGAGCAGGACCCCCTGCTGCGGGTCCCACCCCCTGATACTTCCACTGCTAAGGAGAGTTCACCCTCGGGGTTGGGGGAATAGACGTCCCTGAGAGCCAGACCTGTTCTGGATCACCAGATCCCAGCTACAGGTACCGCATGGGAGTGATTTGCGGGTGGTGAGAAGCCGGTGGAGAAGCGAGGACAGGGCGTGTTCAGAGGCAGGAGTGTGATGATGCACAGAGCCCAGGTAGGGGACTGAGAAGGCTCTCCATGCTAGAGGGTGGACCAATATGGGATGGGGTGGGTCTGAGCGCCCCACAGGGCGATGAGGTGGCCCAGAGACCATGAGGCAGCTGAGAGATCCCTGGGGTTGAGGGGCTCAGAGATTATGTGACTGAGAGACAGAGAATGTGTGTGTGAGAGAGGGAGTGAAAGAGGTGAGAACAAAAAAGGAGGAAAGTAGAGAAGGGAGAGGATCAGGAGGTGAAAGTGATACAGAGCTACAAGGGAAAGGAAGAAATAGCAACAAATGAGACACAAAGGGGAGGTGAGGGGGGAAATGGTTATTTAGCTCAGCTATCCCTGCTGCTCCAGTCCCCTCCCACAGCCTTACCCTCGGTCCTCCAGCCCCTGCTGCAGATGTCCCTGTCAATCTGGTTTCCCTTTTTAAGTTGTCTGGTGAGCCAGGGTTCCTCTACATTCGCTTCCCCCTCCTAGCACTGCTATCTGGGTAGGAATCAGGAGCCTGAAGAGATTGTGAAGTGACCAGGGACCCATGGATCCAGAGAGATCCCCAGTCAAAAGGAGCCCATAAGATGAGACACAGCCCTGATGGCAGCAGGGGATGCTGCTCTGTGGGGCACAGTTCCAGGCAGGGAGAAGGATTCTGGCCAGATCCCTCCTTAGCCCAGTTTCCATCCCCAGGGGGAGAGTGTAGTGAGGGGGTTTCATTAGCTGTTACCATGAGAGGGCTCTTGTTCTTGCTAAGGAGGGGAGGCTGTGCTGTCTTCCTCTTCTTTCTCTGCTCGGGTATCAGTGTTGAGCTCCCTGGCTCAGAGGGTTACTCAGAGACAAAGGTGGATGTAGATGTGCTGTGTGGGTGGCTGCCCTTCTACAAACCCAACAGAAGGGAAAATGTCCAACCTTCCACTTCTTGTAAGCTTCTTTTTTATGTTTAAGATCCGCTAGGATTTCACCGTTAAGCCAAGCTGGTCGCCTGCCATATTTACTATTCTTTCGACACATCGGGATGGTTTGTCCCTGTAACCTCAACAGGGATTCCTTGAAATACAGCCAGCTCTCCTGGACTCCTTTCCCCTTCATGTTAGTCCCCCAGGGGATCCTACCCATCCGTTCCCTGAGGGAGTCGAAGTCTGCTTTCCTGAAGTCCAGGGTCCGTATCCTGCTGCTTACCTTTCTTCCCTGTGTCAGGATCCTGAACTCAACCAACTCATG